GATAGAAAGTGTTTTGTTTAGGTATATGAGCGCTATAGTAGAGCCACCAACGTACAACTGCATATTTATATATTGCCACAACTAAAGTAGAAAATATTTTTATAGGTTAAATTGTCACCTTTTTAGTTTCGTTTATTTTGCATGTGTTGTCGTTTGACGTAGCATAAATTTAAAGTGTTTAAATTGCCGTATTTCGGTAAGCATAACAAGACCTGATCGCACGGTTTACTCTGCATTTAAAAGGATATAAAGCAAAATGGGTAGCTAGGGACATCAAAGAGATTCTAACACAGAGTTTAGAGTACCTCTTAGGGATCTTGAACTCCTACCTATATATCCATAAGCAGAAATAAAAATACAGAGAAGTTCGGGGAAGACTGATGAAGCCATATATGGCTTATAAATCATGCTCAGCCAGTATTACCCATTCTATTATTGTCAGCATCTGGGACTCTACTCCCAAATCTTAGGTCACGAGTGATATTAAGTCCAACGCTTTGTCCTGTCCAACTTACTGCCAGTCACCCCTCGTTTTTGTCGGTACTCCAAGTTTGCATAATTTCTCTTTTTGCAATGCGCCTCCCTGTTAGGGCTTTACATTGGGCAAAAAGGCGGTTATGTCCTACAACGAGATTGATTAACGTATTTCCACGTTATGTACATGGGCATATTGCTGGCTTATTAGCCGTCAACAGTCAGCTATACCCAATCCCAATTGGTGGTATATATACAGCATTCGCTAAAGACCGTGCAACTTTAATGAGTAAATTTTACTTCGTACTTTAGCATATATTTGGTAACACTATTTTGATTCATTGATTGGATTTTACTCTGCGAAAGCCTTTAAGTTAGGAAAATCACCATTTCAATTAGGTTTATTAAGAGAAATGTCCATTATTTTTGGTGAAATTGGGAGTAGTCTCATGTGGAAGGAATTTCCTGTGCTATTACGAAAGACACAATCAATTGCTTATTAATGTTGATTATAATATGGGGGAAGTCCAAAAAAGTAAAGAAGATATCCCTTCCAGAACTGGAAAATTTTGTCCAAACTTGTTCAGACTCAAGGAAAGCCAATTTAAAGGAGTCAGATTTATTTTCAGAAACAAGAAGTAATTTAAGCGTTAAGAATTATGTTTAGCTATCCTGTAAAGTTTTTTGCATGAAATGCAATAATAAAAACGTTTTATCGGAAATTTTATCTTACCGCACAGCTGTCCTTGCGCATAAGCAAAGTGTCCCATATGTTACCGCGAATGTACTGTAAGGAAGGCCTTATTGAATATAAGTCATGTAGAAATATAGCTTTTTGTTCCGTTCCGCTTATATGCCCTTTAGAAGCGGAACAGACAGAAGCATAGTCATTATTTTAAATAGTGGCCAAATATGTGGCCTGTTTCTTTGCATTCGCCAGATTATAACGGATCGTGGAATTAATCCACTTATAGGGAAAAAAATCCATTATAAAGAGGAAGAAAGTTTCTAAATCTCCAATCAAATTGAATTGTATATCCTCAGGTAAATTAAAGAAATTGTCAAAAGTCTCCAATTTTATTGTGACATTAGTTTTTAAGGGTTAATATATACAGAAATTCGTCAGCCGAATATCTAATCAAAGCACTTTTTAAAGAGGTAACCTATTAGAGAAAATGTTCATTAATCTTAGGAATAACAATATCCGACTTATCTTCTGGACGTTCTGTACACTTGGCACTCTAGTTTGCTGCTTTGAAGCATTACTAAATATGGTCCAGATGGCCATCTTCATAAGCATTAATATCCAAAAACACTTTCTTTCGGTAAATGCTCTTCACATATATCTTATTTTAAGGTTTTTGATGTAAACGTTAAACAGAAGCGCAATTTATCAATGAAGACACTGAAAAGGGAGAAAATGATGCCAGACTCTATTCGACGATATTCAGTAAGTAGCTATCCACTAATGGTAATCTGTACAAAAAAATTAACCAAATAAAAGTTTCTTTTATATAAAGAAAGTGGTTACATAAACTTTTAAGTTAAAAATATTTAAATTTATTGTTCTATATTACAGCTATTTTTTACGTCTCCGAAACTTGCAAATTACAGGAAAAATTTATTTTTCGTAACAAAAAACTTAGTAATTCTTAACCTTCGTTTAAGTTTTGAATATGCCTAATGCTGTTCATTATTGTTTCTACGTTTTCCTTAATGCATTCACACTGGTATGCGAGTAATGGCCAAACTTTTACAAAGTTATGAAAGTCGCACGGTTTTTGGCGCAAACTGTATGTAGAGTAAAACCACTTTAAATGGGTTTAATCTTTCCGGCACCGAGCTCGTCGTCCAAAACGCAGCCAAACTAACTGCATCAGTTCACCAATTGGCTGCTGATGACTGAGGACCCACGCCCGAGGCTTGATGGCGGACACAAGCACACACATGCACTTACACTAAATGCAGGGTTGACTTTCCTTCAATCAAAACCATTTGTTTAAATCGTTTCACGAACTGTCCAATATAAACATTGAAAGCCTGTTGTGCTTGATTCTTGTGCCAGAGCCATACACAAACAAATCTACGAGCACCTTCTCGGGTATGTATCCTGTCTATGACATAATAGAATAGGATAGTTCTCGAAACTTTCTGTGTATATGATCTTACTGATTCGTCGTATATTTGCCTAAATCAAACGCTAACAAGGAATTAAGTCTTGTACTGAGTTTAGATAATTCTTTCGTTGCTTTCTTATGCCTAAAAGTTCGCAACGTTCAGACGATAAGCCAATGTCGATTTGCACGTTTTAGTCAACTTACCTTACAAAAAGTGTCATCCACACCAAAATGTATAACATTAAGCTGCTACCAAACTGATTTTGATTAAACATTTGACCGATCAGTGAAAAAACTAAGTAAGAGTGGGTTTTTGGAGTAGTGAGACAGCACACACATGGAATAACCAAAAAATACTACTGTCAGCATTCCACGTAAATTTTCACCAACTGTAAGGAAAATTCGGTTGGTCCGAGCTCGGAAGGTATCAACCGGGATGGGTAAATCCTGAAAAACAGATTGGTTTACAATTAACTACTATAAGGAAAACTCTTTAGGACTTAGTCGCAAATATTTGTCAATATTTTTGTATTGTATTTTGAACAAATATTATTGTCATTGATACTTCCCCTGTGCTGTCATTTCATGTTAAATGTATTCACCAGGCTGGTTCCTAAACCACTACAAACGCTTTTGCAAGAAGCAGATCATCAGATAGATCGAAGAATCCAGCCAGTTTGACGCATTCAACTTCTGAGTAGATTTCAAATAAATTACTGAAATCTTATTCCAAGTCGGAATATAACATGCCAGTACTAGTTCATATGAAAAACAGCTATGTCGACCGCCTTTAAAATTCGACTGATTTACTACCCAAACCGCTGGTTCGGAAGAAAGATCGATGCAGTTTGGAACTTCACATTTACTTGAATTTATATGCTAATCTGTCGGAGAAGACATAAGCCAATATAGATATATGCTTTATGAATGCAATATTCGAAAAGTCTGATTTTTAATTAGCCATGCGCCTTTCGAGTGGCAGGCAGTGCCTACCTATATCTCTT